TTTTGTGATCATAATAGTTTTATTAATTATGTTCACACAAAAAGGAAAATCTTCAGTCCAAATTATATGACCTCGTTTATACAAACGAGTTGTTGCAATTAGGACTAGAGATAGTATTATTAATTATTTCTTTTATCCTATTTATAAGTCACTTTCAACATATTTCACACAGGTCAAGAAAAATCTTAAACTTTATTAACTTTCATTTAAAATTTAACAACTTTTTAATTTTACCCCTATTTAATATGCGTTATACCTTATGTAAACAAAGTCTACACGATAATAAATGAAGAGTAAAATTATATATTCATACAAAAAAATTTCTTTTAGTGTCTTATAAATAAGACAAAAAATATATATTTTTTCTGCCCGATAAATAGTATATTAATTAAGTTATTATTCTATAAATGTAGTTTCATATATAATTCCACCAAGAATATAATAAGGGAATCATTATAAGTCACTTTTTCTATACATATATGGGAAAACGGGTATATAAAGAATATAGAGTAGAGAGTCACATTTTTAAGACGGGAAGTAATAAAAGAAGCGTAAGAGTAGGATTAGATGTTTGTTTTGAAGTCAATGTATATGCAATGTGCACGATTGTTACTTCTTAGCTACCCCCCTCTCTGCATATACATACACATGTATATAGTCTTCATTCTTCTATGATTTTGATGGTCTTATTATTGTCCATGTCGGGTAAAAAAAAGAAATAAACTTAGCCTTTTCTTTTCAAAAGATTTTATTATTTATTTTTAAATCAAATAATACGTAAAAAAAACTCCCTTCCATATCATTACTATTAAAAATCGTACAATTTGTCATATTTCAATTAAACTTCTCGGTTAATAAAATATAAGTGGTTGTAAGGGTGTTCAAGGCAGACTCCTCCTGAAATTTTTCCAAACGAGACAAACCGGGACAGGACAAAAAAAGGGACCGGGATAGGCCTGTCCAGGTTCTGATCCGTCTCGTGAACAGTTCTAAGTGGTTGAATTACGCATTTTTATAAAAGTAAATAGGTTTGGGCCTGGACAACATATTAGCCCATATAACCAAATCACATGCCTCATATGGCCTTGTTGTAAATATTGAATTAAGAGTTGAGGTCGGCCCATTCCTTTTTGGGCAAATGGCCATGGATTGAATAAATAATATTATTGCTTTTCTTGTTTTTGACTTTAGTATACTTTGTAGCATTTTGGGGCAGAACGAGCCTGAATAGTTAGTTAGGGGTCAATTCTATGAAAACGAATATAAAGTTAGAATCTTAATATTTATTATCATATTATTTTTTAAAAAATATTTATATATATTTTAAACTGTTAGGTGATAAATTATGTATAAGTATATATACCTTAAAAAACATATATATAATAAACTAATTTTTTAAAAAATATTTTTTGAGTAGCAAAAGGAAAAGGTTAGTGTGAGTCATATTCTATTTGGTTTGGGAAAATTAAGTTTTTTGATGCTTCAGCTTTTAACTGAGTCACTCAATCATTAGTCAATTAGGTATGATTTTATTCCTTAATTTTTAACTCGTTTAAAATTTATTCCCTCTAATCTTTCTCATTTAATAAAATCAGACGTCATCATCATTCTACGTGTCAAGTGAGATTGCTAACTCAACATAAAAATTGCTGCTGTGACTTTCAAGTAAGCTCCACGTGGCTGGGAATATGTCCTAAAACATGTGGAGGACGTCCTTAAGAAGAGACCGGCTCTTAGCTGAGTTTGCTGTAAACCTCAGCCGAAGATGCCAAGAGGTTATAGAATCCTCATCAACCTAGTCATTAAGACCTGTAATCTATCCACGTTTCTTAATATGCTTGCTAATGCAGTGGACATAAATTATATATCAAGGGGTCCATCTCTGGTCATTCCGTGTATAAGAGTCTTATATTTAGAACCGGAGGAGTAATTACTTTTTATGTGGGCACTGGTTTGCTTATATTAGCTGCCGACAATATGGAATTAATCTGACTGTCACCACAAATGTCAAAAAACAAGAAGTGATTTCTCCTTCACTTGACCTTTGTCGACACTATATTACCACCTCGTTGAACTATGACATTAAGATTGTGTGTCTTTTCATATTTCTCTTTTATTACATTTTGTATTCAATGCCACGTTTCTTCTTCTTCCTCCTTTTTTTTAATTCTTTACTTCCACTTCCAAGTGGAGTATATATATGTGTGTGTGTTATGATTACCAAATAGTAGTGGCACGCAGGATTTGCTATTATGCATGTACCAATAGGTTAAAACGGTGGCAATGTCCTAGTTTCATTTGACAGAGCAATATAAACGATTTGAGGGTGAGGAATAAAACCTGTAATTTATGGAAACCTTGAGGAGGGAGACCTAAATTATTCTCTCTCGCTACAATGGTGGGAACTTTACATCCACATCCCATCACACCTATATACATAGAAAGTCCGTTTAGAATAGTTTATAAGTAATTTTTAATTTACAGAATACGAAATAAGTAAAAAAAATTTTTGTCTTAACTTATATAAAATGTGTTTATAAGTGATTTCAATCGTGATCTAAAGTGAATGATCCTATATATAGACAAGAGCCTTCCATTGAGTAAGTGAGATGCAACTAATTTAACTCACAATATATATATAGAAGAATTCAACACAGTGTACATGTTTTATATTTTATTTTGATTGCCTAATGTCTATATCATCAAATGTTTAGATTTCATGTCTGAATATATCATTTAATTGCTTCTATTTTTTGCGTGGTATGGGTATCGTGATCGTTTTCCGGCTTACTGAAGAAACCTAAACTGGATGCTGTAAATCTGATACAGGATCTAGAAAATTAATGTCGTCTTTGGGATGTCTGGGGAAAGATCAAGTTAGCTTTCATGACATTTTGGGATCGATTAATCCCTACTTGCTCGCTTCTATGAGACGCATGCAGTAGTGCGTCTTTGGTTTTGACTTTTAGAAAATTGATGTTGGTTGGATGGGTTAAGATATTTATACGATTAACATCAATATGCGCGCGCGCGCATGTATATATTACCCGCACACGCATAAAAACTCTATGGAAACAAAGCTAAAATATTTATTGGGATGGCAGTGCCCAATGAGAAAGAGTTGGGATTTTGACTTGGCTCAGGGTCAACAGTTACCAACAAACGAAACAGAATTCATGGGTTCTTGGAATTCCAAACCCATCTTTTTTTTTGACCAGAGTCCAAACCCATCATTAAATGAAGGGAAAATTAGAATAAATTTCTCATTGAAAATTTAATTGGTAAAATAGGATCTGGGGTGATTGATTACACAAGAAAATATTAGTTACACGAAAAGAAGATAATTTGTAAAAAACATTATTTAAATAAAAAGAATTAGTTTCCATGTAAAGAAGATGATTTGCACATAAAAAAATTTTATTTGTACAAAAAGAAATTGAGTTACATATCCCATAAAGGAAGATTATTACACATAACTGAAAATAGATTGCACACAATGGAAGATAAGTTGCACAAAGTCTTTAGATTCTATTTGCTAATTAAATTTTTAATGAGGGGTTTATCCTAATTTTTCCTTAAATGAATTGCAAATTGCTCGTTTTTCTTTAATATGCTCATATATCATACTCCCTCTGTTCCTTATTATAAGAGACGAATAACCGAATTACGTTGATAAAAAAAACAGATAAAATTAGTTAAAAACAATCAATGTGTAAAAGATATAATTATTTTTCCAAAAAGACCCTCATTAATAAGGAGAGAGAGCATGAGAGAGAACAATGGTAAATTATTCAAAGAAAGAGAAGTGGGAAGGAGAGAGAGTGTGAGTTGGAGACAATAAATATGGGTAAAATAGGAAATCAACACAAAAAAATAGAGACAACTTTTAAGTGTCTCTTATATATAAGAATATATCATAAGCATCAAATATCTCTTATAATAAAAAACGGAGGGAGTATCTCAGATATCCTATTTGCCAATAATAAAGTTCGTTTAGTCACAGGGATACATGGATTTTCCCTTCATTTTTACGTCTTCTTCTTTTGAATTTGCAAGTAATTCATAAATACTTTTCTTTTATTAAGAATTGTACGAAATATGTAAACTAGTTAAATGTCTGTTCTTTTAGAAAAGTCAATTATTCTAAACTCTTAACAACTTTTTTTTTTTTTTGGCCAACGCAAACTCTACCAGGTCTAATGATATGAAATTCGGGATCCGTCAGGTGTCAGTAAGCAAATAAATGAGCTTAGCTACGACATGTATATTCACTTTTGAAACGATGTAAATGATTAAAATCAAATAAAAATTACTGTTACTTCACTGATCATACGTGGTTAGACTTTTATTCATGAGCATTTGGTCACGAGTGCTTTTGCCGACACAATTGAATGATGTGAACTCATCAGTCAAGCCAAACATGACAGGCACAACTTAATAGAACTTCTTCAACAGCTTCATGAGTGTTCCATTAATTAGTGGCCAGTCATTCAAGGATCGAAAACTCAGATGCCCACGTAATCATTTTTGTTTTTCAGCCATTATCCTCCTCCCATTTCGGTGTTAAATCTAATCAAAATCTAATAAACAAAAATCCCACCAATTAATGGGATGAAATCTTTCCACTCATGTCCTGATTATTCAACAATATAAATTAAAAAAAATAAAAGAAATCAATATCCCGTAAATTAAGGTCACAAATTTGACCGGTCAGAACTTCTACAATGTGGAGAAATGGGGCAAATCAAGATTATGGCCATAATTCCTGCGGCTTTAGTGCTCCGCGGGAAAATTCAGACACCATCAAAGCTCATCACACCATTGGCCTTCATGACTAAACACTGGACTTGGGGAAAATTCTCGGGTGCTGTATGGTGTATGCACATACAGTGATATATAGTCTAATTCTGCCAACTTGACGTGTAAATAAATCTCAATCATTATATGTACATGCACCATACGTTACCCCAAAAATATCTTCCGGGACGAGATTGATATCATGACTGACTAATCAATACAGACTTTATTCTCTTTTTTCAGAAAGAACAAAACTGAGATATCTGTAATCAGAAAAGGGGCTTCGAAACTATACATGTGCTATCTGCAATAGCAAAATCTGTAGAAAACCTTCAGTTACTATCTATGCAGTAACTTAACTTGAACCCTTCTTTTCATGAATCCCATCCACCAACAATATCCATCTTCGTATTTTAATTTATATTGAACTTTGCTCCTTAAGCAACCGAACGGAGCATGCTCTGTTCTGACTCATCTGCATTGAGGGAGAAAATATCCACAGGGGCACTAGTGCAGCCAACAGTATTTGGTTTAGATCTATCATAAGGGGAACCATTGTGGTGATCAAGATATATAACGATAACAGTGATATCGTCATGGAAATGTCTTCTTATTCCCTTGTCAATTTTCTTTATATCATCATATCTCATCTCTCTCTTCTTTGCAGCTTCTTGCAGAGCAGCTCTTACCAATCTCTTGGCGATTCCCTACAAGTACGGGGACAACATATGTCTAATTAAAATCTATATAAGAATCCATGAAGTCCATGGTTATATGCATCTTATAAGTAAGAGTAGGTACTCACGGCTCTTGGATGCTTAAAAACAATCTCAACTGCTGCTTGATCACTTAATTGTTCCCAAAGGCCATCTGATGCAAATATCAAGAATAAATCTTCCGACTCAAGCTCCCTAATAAGGATTGATGGTTCAGCTGTCATTACTGGACGCTTCAAAGGAACTGGGTTTCCAAACTGCTGAAAAACCGGGTCTCTGTAAAAGTCAGGTCTCTTGAGATACACATCACCAATGGATCTTGACACCTGCACAACCAAAAATCAGCTTCCATAATCAGCTTAGTCCTTAAGAAGTCCTGAATACATGCAAGGAAATATTCAGTTTCACATTGATATCTAAGTCAACAACCAAATGATCGAGGAGCAACCACGGCCCTCCTCTTACATAGGAGACAAACATGGATGGAAGGGAAGTAAATGCAGGTGATCTTGACTTGAGGTCTACCAGTACGTTCTGAATCTTAATTACAGGATAGCCAACTTCTACAGCACATTATAGTAGAAAGCTAGAACCACACCAAATACACAATAACTTCATAAGCATAGAAATAGGTTTAAAAGCCAAGACAGGAAGTAAGAAATATTAAATATATGTGCTAGCTTGGCTCAAGCGTTGTAATTAAGAGCATTAACACAGAGATGCAAGTGACAGATATCACCTTCTATTTCAAAATATGGGGAAAATTGAAAAGTTTAGCCTACCAACATTTACAAGCAACCCTTGCCATGGAATGCAATTTTAAGGCCCTAAGAATTTGAACAAGCAAGTAAATGAGGAGGGAATACAAAGGAAAAATAAATACAAGTCGCAGTAAGACTGTATTATTGTATATACTAATAAACGGTGAGATTTCATTGAAGACTATTTCTAAAAGCAGACAAACTTTGTCCACAGCAATCCTGGACTATATCTTAAATATGAACAGATAATTTAAGAAAATCAGTCTCTCTCTAGTCCATCCATACTAAAACTGTTAGGGCTGTGTTCAGATCAGAGCCTACAATTATTCAAAAGTTCGTATAGAAATTATCCACCAATACCTGGATAATGCCTTTAATCCTCCAAACTCCACGGCTATAAACCACAACGTGTGAATCGTCAGGATGGAGGGCCTCCACCTCCCTCCTCACCTCCTCGAAGGCCACATTATGGTCTGTTGATAACCGCTCTGCCACCACTGAGCATTTTTTGCTCTCTGAATCTCGCCGGCCAAGAACAGCTCTAGAGTCTCCAAGGTTTGCAACATACAGCATATTATCAGAAATTGCACCAAGAAGACAGCATGATCCTACTGAAGCAATTTGGGGACTCATAGGCAATGTTCGCTTCACCAAATGCAAAAATTCGTCCTCAGTGGCCTTAAACGCCTTTTTTATCACATCCACGGACAATCCACCTTGTTCAGAAGCAAACTCTGCAATCAAATTAACAAAAACAAGAGAAGGTGAGTTAGTAGCCATATGAAATCAGGAGGAGTAACTGAAATGCAGCCCACAGAGTACCTCTACAGGGTTAAATTTCTCATGGATCCTAAAACCCTTGTTATCATAAAATTCATCATCCCAACCAAGTCTATTTTTCTTCAATAAGTGATCCATGAAACAGAACCTTAAAACAAGGTTCACGACCGCGAAGACACAGAGAGTGCGGTGAGCCTTGAGAAGCTACCAATTCAGAGCCAAAAATAGGAACAACCAAAAACACCGATTTCAATCTTGAGAATTATAAACAGGAAAAGAGAATTACTCTGTAGATGAGGGAAGAGGCGTTTGTTGACGAATCTGGAAGCTTCGGGTCCACCGTGACCATCATAGACGCCGATGTAGGTGGCGGAGGGAGACGTGAAGACTTGGCTCTGATCTTCGAGACTGTAATTGGCCTGAGCGACGGCGATGGAGTAGTGGCCAGAGGCATGAGGCTTCAAGTCAGAGTGCCACAACAGGCCATCGCCACCGGTGCCGCCGCCACCGCATCCTCGCCATCCAAAACAACGCTCCAGCGGCCTGTAGCACAAACGAAGCATCGCGTATATACGTTAGGGATCAAATCGTATAAGATTTGGAGGTCTAAAGGGAAATCGAGATCACGATCTCGATAGTGATGGTGATGGAGAGAGGAGGCTGCGGTGTGATTAGGTATAAGAGGGGGAGGAGAGGATGAGATGAGAGACGAATATCGGAAAATGGAAGAGGAGAAGAAAGAAAGCGAGTGGGGTAAACGCAAAGGAAAGTAGAGAGGCTATGCCGCGTTAGAAGGAGAAGATACAACGACGAATGTTGCTTTTATACTTCACGCGTAGTCTCCTCTTTCTCTCAGCGTGTCTCTGACTCTACATTCAGGTGTTATCCCTAACCACTTCCTCTCGAGGAAACTAACCATTTCATTCATTCCTCAGTTCACATTATTCACTGCATCTCACTCCATTTAGAAGCTTTTTTTTTAAAAAAAAAAAAATTAAATTTCTAGAAGCTGTTTAGGCGTTGGATGAGCTTGAAAACCTTCTATAGTACCCGCGATCCGTATCCGGAACTCCACCAAAAAAACACATTTTTGTGTTATGTTTTTTTTCCCACATGTTTATCTCTATAACCTGAAATCAACATCCCAAGATTAATAATTTTTGTCAATCTACTCTTTTTTTTTTAGCCATAACAAGCTATCCAATAAAAAATGTTCGAAATCATAGGATATATATCCACGTCATTATATCCTTGTGGTTATGTTTTGATCTAATCTTGATTTACATTGGCTTAGTAATTATCTATTTTCTCAATCCCTGTGTATTTTAATCTAATCTTATTATTTAATTTATTATTATGATTTTAATTTTTATTTATTTTGTATCTATCTTGTGATATATATTAAGCTTGTTGAGAATAATTTATTCAAAACTTTTTTAACCATGTCACTCTCATGTGTTATATATTTTAATTGTATAAACACAAGCGATTTACATAAATAATTGGCAAAAATAGCACATACGCGCCGCATGCAATATACGGCCAAAACAATATACGACATGTGATACAATACAACATGTATTAATTGGCAACTTCTAGCCATCAGTTACATCTAGATTATTTAATTTGTGTATTTCGTATATCTAAGTATGACCACGTCAATTAAATTTGTCAAAAAAGGTTAGTAACAATTCAAGCGCAGGGATCAAATAAAGAGAATTTTAAACTATAAGCACTTGATGTTTTGACAAATTAAATAGTACTCCTCCGGTCCTTAATGTAAGGCCCATTTAACTAATTTGATTATATTAAGAAAATTAGGTAAATTAGTTAATTATAAGAAAAGTGACACATTTTCCCTCAAACATCATAATCTTTCTTAATACCCCATCTCCTTCTTCTACTTGATTATGGTTGAGGGAGTATTTATACGGGTAATTTAGAGAAAATTGACAAATATGAGAAATGGGTCTTATATGTAGGACCAAAACCAACTCAAGAATTGGGTCATATATTAAGGACCGGAAGAGTAGTATTTTAGAGAATAAAAAGTTAAATTAGGCTAAAGAAGTAAGTTAATTTTTATAAAGTAAAATATTCGATAAAAAATCACATATTTTTGTAAAGTCAATTACTGATATTAAAGGGGCTATAGGGAAGTGATATCAACATGCATGTGAGGAATTAATGTAGGATTTAGTTGTTTGGATTTATACTTTGAATGCCTTGGCAGTTGGTGCAGAATAATACTACATCTGGTCCTAGTTATAAGATCTCCTTTATAATTTATAAACGAGATTTTATAATTAGGACCGGAAATAGCAAGAGATATATAAAAGGATAAAATGCGAGGAAAGGGAATTTTTTTTAATTACCATCGGTGTCATTATTTAGCAACATTTTGATTATAATACATTGAATTCAAATAACAACCAGAAAAAAAATCGGGGGATTGGATATGTTGTGATTTATGACTATGCATGCATGTCCGTTTTTCATTGTGAAATATTAGCAACAAAAAAAAAGGGAAAATTAATCTTTTAGTCCCTATAGTTTTCACTCATTTGTAATTCAATTTCTATACTTTGACTCGGTGCAACTTAGTCCTTATAGTTTGTACTCGATTGTAACTGAGTTCCTAAAGTTTGACTCACTACAACTTAGTCTCTATAATTTTCTCTATTTTATAATTTAATCCTTGTGTTTTAAAAAATAAAATTATATATCTAATAAAAGGAAGAACTAAATTATAAAATGGTTAAAACTATAGGGATCGAGTTACAGCGAATCAAATTTCAAGACTGAGTTACAACCGAATCCAAACTATAGGGACTAAGTTGTACTGAGTCAAAATATAAGAGCGCACACACAAAAAGTGCATCTGTGAAAGCGGTTATGGAAATGCACAAGTTATGATACATGCATATGGATGGCGCACTGATGATATAAAAAGTTATTAACATACACAGTGGTTGAAGAGGACAGAATAAATTCCTTTCAAATAATAAGAGATAATAAGACATTTCATGATAAAACTAAAGATACAAGGAAGTGTTTGGCCAGCAGTTTATACAGGTAATCGTGATCTATATTAGAAATCAAACTCCTAATCACCCCGCCCCCAGACACATACATGTCCCACACTAATTAATAACCATATATTAATCAATTACTTTGTTGAGTTAATTGGAGATTAAATTTATTTTATGTTTTATAATAATTCTTCTACAAAATTAAAAACAGTTAAATTTTTATATATAATGCTGATACTGGTTAAATAAAAATATATTGCCATCGAGGGAGTGTGAGGGGGACACGGCAGGTTGGTGAGATTGCCTGTGCTGGGGCCACCTGTCTGGGAGCGGCTCACGCGGCTTCGCTTGCTGCGTATGAGCTATGAGCATATGTGTTGTGAATTTGCGCTCTCTCTCTCTTACATTCAAACGTTGACTTGACATATTGGATTTTTTAAAAAAAAATTAATTCATAAATTTTTATAATTTATTAATTTAAATTTTCTTTCTTTTTATAATTTATTTTATTTGAAGGCTTGATCAGTACGTTTTTACAATGTCATTTGGGATAGAACTCTCTCTCTCTCTCTGTCTTTTTTGGGTTTCAATGTTTACTTTTTTTTAAACCTATTTTCAGGTAGATAGTGATAGAAAAATAAGCTAGGCAAGCATTTAAAACTGAAATAAATTAAGAAACAGCATGACAAAACTTAATACCTTCCCATACGCTCAGTCGCTCTCAAACTTTTATACCTTTGAGCTTCTTCTTTTTGTATGTCTGGCTCTTTTTTTGTTTTTGGCTCTACTTTTGAGCTTCAAACAAATGATGAACATTGATAGAGGCAACGCGTTTAGTGTTTTTAAAGTAAAAAGGAAACCACACTTAATTAAACGAATAAATCAATGTTTTAAATATTAACCACAAAATTGCTTTAGTAGCGTAGTTTCTTGTCATTGCATTATCTTTTTTTTGACCAGAGTGTCATTGCATTATCAAATAGGGAAAATTGCTATGAGACAAAAATAATTATCTAAAAAATCCCCATAACAACTGAGTAATTGTTCCTTTTTATACTAAAACTTGTTATTTCAACTATTATATTGTTATTAGAATTTTTTAGTCATTATATTTTTTCAACGGGACTCTATTGCAGTTTTCTCCATTAAATATTTGTATAAACACCAATTATGAAAAGTGTTTAGATTAGCTTTTTGAAAATAATGTATCGGTATATAAGTAAATATATGAGAATAGTTTTGCTTCTTTTGTGTGAAAGCATTTTTTTAAAAAATGTTTTTTGAATTTTTCAAACTGCCCCTTTTGAATTATAACCGAGGTTGAACACCATGCTCTCAAAATAAAAACCCAGAAATATATTATATTCTTTTAATCATATTTGGAAGACACTTTTAGTGTGGTGTATTGAAACCAAGAAAATTTGTAAATCTTATTAATTATGTTTTAAAATTTAATAGTTTTTTTAATTTTACTTATATTTAATATAGTACTTTTGAAAATGGTAGTTCTGAAAATAGTAGTGTACAGAACGATAAATTAAAAATAAAATGATTGATTCATGTAACAAATTTATGAACCGACTTGAAATTTAAGAAAGCAAATATGCTATGAACTCAGGTTCCTAGGGGGACTCAAGGCCATGTGAAGACTATGCGAATTGTTTAAATCCATTTCTAGAAAGTTCTAATATAATACCTAGTCAACAACTATTTTTAATTTTTAATTGAAATTTGACGATGATTCCATCATTCCATGACTTGGTGCATATTCCAAATGGAATGATTTCAGGTTATACACAAATAATTGTTTATCAATGAAATAAAAACCAAATAATTAATGCCCAAAACCAAAAAGAAAAAAATCCCACAAAAAGTTTGAAATTATTAAATCACAAATAATTTTTTTATAAAAATATGTTGTTAATGGTAAATTTAATTTTGTCAAAACAAATTAAAATATTATTACCAAACTTGATTTGGGATTTAATAATTTTAGATTTTTTTGGTGGGATTTTCGTAATTAAAAATTCTAAGAGTTATTATATTTCAAAGTTCACACTTATTACAAATAAGTCTTCGGGCCCAAAAAAAAAAAAAAGACTTGCTACAAATAAGTCGAAATTTAGAAGAGGAGGATGAGGAGGTACTCTCTGGGCCACCGCATCTTACATTCTTCTTGTTGACACGAAAGCCTTCAACGCCAAAATAGCACGCTGGCCCTTTTTTAAAAACAAAAAAATAACCTACCAAAAAAAACAAAAAAATAAAATAAAACGCATTAGTTATAGGGGAAAAAAAAGGTACATAATTATTGTCCATCCTTCTTTGTTTATGAAGATATTAATATTTCGCAGAGACTTTTTAATTGGTGTTACAATTTCACCATGCTCAAGCTTGCTGATTAAAAAAAAGACGGAGCATTGTTGATATGAGAGCACGCCATGGCAGTTTTGCCCCGTGATGGAGACCCTGGCCTATTAATCAAAATGAAGGTTCAGACTGCGTTAAAATATTGCGGGAGGTATTTCTGATTAATAAATATTTTTATAAGTGTCCCTTATATTTGCCATTACTTCTAATTCTTAATATAAAAATTAGTTTAATTTTTAATTTGCTTATAAATATAAGACTTTAATTCATTTTATTTTGCATACTTATCTATTTTTTAAGATAGTTTTTATAATAGTTATACATGTTAAAGTTTTATTAAATAATACTTTTACCTAATACATATTATTAATACAGGTATTTTAAAGAAGGTAGCATAAATTTATTACAAATGACTAATTAAACAAATTTTTTAAATTTATTCAAATAAATAAATCAACTAGTTTTTGTACTATTTTTTATTTTAATTATAATACCTCATTTGTAGTTTATAAAGAAAGTTTTATAATTAGAACATAAGATAGTACTCCTCCGATCCTAAATGTAAGATCCTTATACTAGTGTGTATAAGGATCTTACATTTAGGATCGGAGGAGTATTAAGCATAGAAAGTAGTATTTTTTTTTTTTAATTTTTGTCATGGATCATATTTAATATTTAACATTGAGATTTATAGGACTTGATTTTAATTTTCTCATGAGATGTTACATGTAGCAGATGGAATGGAGAAAGGAAGGGTGTAGAACTTGGACGGAGCTGTTGTAACCTGCCAACCTGAACAAGAGAAACTCCCGCCATTGTCGTGTGTGTTGAGTCACATCTTCTCCTAGAACAAAGACAAAGCAACCAAAAAGCTCCAAATCTTGATTTTCACTGTCGAAATCCTCCATTATACCCCACATCGCCCACGTTCTTAAAGCCTTCCCAGCGCAAACATTGGAGGAGAAAGTGAACTGAGGAGAGATAAAGGAACACCATGATGAAAGCCAAAGCAAAAGGCTCCAATTTGAAGTTGGGTTCACCTTCTTTGATCCTCTTTTGTTCTCTTTTCTTCTTTCTTGGACTTTTTCTGTCCACTATCCTCTTTCAGGTCTCTTAAATTCCCTCTAAAATACTCGATCGAATGACTGCCTGGTGAGTGCCTGATCAATCTCGTGACTTGAATTCATTATGTCATTTGATAGCAGGATTTGGGCGACGCACGGCCTCGATCTGGAGCTAGAATACTTGAAGAATCGGTGGCGAAGAAGGATTATGACCCGCTTGAACATGGCAAAACCGGGGAAGATTTTGTTGAATCAATTCCATTTCAGGTGATTCGTCTTCTTTTTATCTCTATCTGGCCATATCTGTTTCACATTTATGCTCGTGGCTAATGAATGCAAACATTATCATGACTTAAGTCTGTTAATCTCATGGGATTATCACAGTACGGCCCGAGATTCAATGTGATACCTCTGTTCATGTAAAAGTTGCTTGCTTTGTTAGTTCAAGGTATTAGATTATCTATTTGATTCACATTTGGAGGTACATGGACACATAGAAGCTAGACAAACTATCGTCATTTAGGACTATCGTCTACTGATGCAGTCTTTCATAGGGTATTTCATTCTTATTTCTTCTTTCCTAAAAATGATGCAGCGGGCAAGTCTGCTCCGTTCTTTTTTGTTATGAATTTATCCGACTCTAGCGAATAGAGGAAGGTGAGTTCATATCTGTCCCTAAATTTTTTTTTTTTTGGGGGGGGGGGGGGGAGAACATTGCTTAAGTGTGCTCATGGGAAGTGATACTTGTATATATTGTATTGATTCTTGCTCTCATCATCTTAAGTAATAACATAATCCTGACAAATGGTTCTCATCATCTTAAGTATTAATATCTCCGGCTGTGATGGAGCCTTCAAAGAGAAAATCTCTGCCTTTTAGAAACGTCCTGGAACTTTTTAGTGTTACTGCTGCTCAATGTCATTCTCTTCCTTTTTCTCTCTTTTTGCAGGTTTTAAGTTGGAGGCCAAGGGCAGTATACTTTCCAAACTTCACAAGTGCTGAACTATGTGACCGCATAATTGACATGGCAAAGTCAAAACTTCAACCATCAAAGTTAGCTCTGCGGAAAGGAGAATCTGCTGAGAGCACCAAGGGCACTAGAACAAGGTGTTATCCTTCTCACGTGCATTATCTACTATAATTCTTCTCATGCTTTTTTAGTAGATAGCTACTTATTTATAGCTTGGAGTTCTGCATATAACATGCACTTGTAGATTAACATGACCAATCTTAGCATAGATAGGTCTGCTTAAATGAGTCAAACTAGATTTGGTAACGTTTTTGAATTACTTATCCTGCATGGCGATAAATGTTATATCAGCTCTTTCATATTCGTGGTTTTTAGGCTCTTGAGTTTATGTCATCTATCATTGATTGAGCTCGTATCAAAAAATAAAATTTTTGTGACATGGGGAAGTTAGAACTCTTAAGCATCACGAACATCAATTATTTGTTTGGGATGCTCGGTTCTCTTCACATAGATTATTTAGCGTGCTGTGATAATTGATGGTTTACGAGTAATAAGATTTTTTTAAAAATGATGTATTATAAATTAGGTAGAAAAACCTTGTAAAAATTGGTTTATGGGAGACTCCTCATTTTAAATGCGAAAGGTAGATCTTTGATTGAATGGATTGTTCCACCCCACTGAAGGCCCGTCTCTCACATATTAGTTATGACTATACATAATAACCCTACCATATTATATTCTGGAGCATAAAATGCAGAGAAAACAGCTAGATTATGATGCCATCACGTGTTTTTGCGCACGAATTTTATCATTTGAACCTACCAGAATTGTGTTGCTGCTACTAATTTGTACTTGGAAACAGTTCAGGCACATTCATCAGCGCATCAGAAGACAAAACTGGCATCTTGGAGTTAATTGAGAGGAAAATTGCGAGGGTCACGATGCTTCCAAGGACCCACGGAGAGGTATTTACTCTTTTTAAGATTTAACGCTCTCTAAAGGGTTAGTGCTCATTGCTCAAGATGAGTGAAGTGGAGGTTGTTGCCAAAATCTTGCAGGCATTCAACATATTGCGGTATGAGATTGGCCAAAAATATGATGCTCATTATGATGCGTTTAACCCAGCTGAATATGGCCCTCAACAGAGTCAAAGGGTATCATTATTGTTAAGGAATTCTTGTCAAACACCACTTTTTGCCATCTTGCTTTTCTTTGTGGCGGTATTCTTGGCTGAATCATTCTTTCTGCAAATCTCTCTTTTCAATAATTTTATGTCTTGTTATGTGCTGTACCTGACACCTGTTGTCTTCCTTTTTAGGTTTGATTTAACTAAAATCATATTCACCTCTTAGATCTCTCAGATTTTTTTTTTTTTGGGGGGGGGGGACTATATAGCAGTTCTTATCAAGATTATGAAGTAAGCCTCTGGTCATTGGGCAGCTAGTTCTTCTTATTTCTAGTGGTACCTGTTGTATGATATTATTTGGACAGCAAATTCACTGTGGGAATAGACAGGAGTTGGAAAGCGAAAGAACCAAATGGGAAAATAAGGAATAAGCAAAGCAAGTAGAGCATTCTTTAGTACGACTTTGACTTTACCTTCACTGCCCAGATTGATTTTCTCCATGTTAAGTTTGTTTCAATATTTTGACCAGTCCAAAAGTTGTTCTGATCACCTATTTCTCGTCATGCTCACATGAATTGGTCCCAAAACACAGACAGAAGCCACACAGAGATCCTATAAAACTTTGACCAATTATGGCTGACAGTGACCCCTGGTGGTTTAGACCTGTACCGGTTAAATAATTAGACTAAGACCAGAAATCAGTTCAGATTTTATATATTATATGCCCTGCCAAGAAACTCAAGAATTTAACAACTTAAAAGAAGTTGGTTAACTATCTTCTCTTTCAAAGGCCTTTCTTATGCCTGATCGGTCTGTTTATGGGTCTCTTCTTATGTATATATCCATGCTCAATAAGCAGGTCGCTTCCTTCTTACTATACCTATCAAACGTCGAAGCAGGGGGAGAAACCATGTTCCCTTTCGAGGTAGATTGGGGAATTTTACGTCATCGGAATTGTATGGCACTTTGTAATATGGATCTCGATATAGATGTAGTCACTGGACAATGCTGTAACTTGCAGGATGGTATGAACATTGGTAGACGTTATGATTATAAAGAATGCATTGGTTTGAAAGTGAAGCCGCGTCAAGGTGATGGACTTCTATTTTATTCCTTGCTTCCAAATGGCACAATCGATAAGGTAATCCATTTTAGAGAATCTTCCCTTTTCAAACAGTAATAATACATGCATATAATTGCTGGTCCTCTTGTGGTACATATGGGTAGGTATAATACTGGAAGAGCATCTGAGAATCAGATGAAGATTTTTTGGACAATAATGATGGACTGGATAGTATTTTCATGACGATGCATGGAGATTGCTCTTATCATCCTTTTAATAGAAAATACTTGTGTACTTTCGCTTTTAATACTGAGAAGTAAATTACACTTACTTTTCTTGAATTTCATTAAATTCACACAAATATCATATATTTTAACCATATACAGTTATATCTTTGGAATTTGGTAACAAAAAGTTTCATGGTAACTTAATGTCCAATAATGTCGCACTTGCTACATTATTTGGTTTGCTTTTGGTACAAGTAACTGAACTTTACTGCAGACTTCTCTCCATGGAAGTTGTCCCGTGATTGAAGGGCAGAAATGGGTGGCGACAAAGTGGATTAGAGATCGAGATCGAGTCTAAAATGTCTTTTCCCCCCCAGAACTATGCCATTGCCCTGACATGAGATTTTTGAAGCAGCCTAATGTACTAAAAATAGGTCAAAAAATTGATTGTATATGTTACTATGTGCAAGATATATCTCATTTAAAAGTTTGTACGAAATGCTTTGACAGATTTACTCACACGGTGTGATAACTAATCACCATTTAGCTGAGTTGTATAGGTTCACTAGTTATTGCTTTGAAGTTTCGTGTTAAATTTTGGAATGTTGGTTTTCAGTTACGGGAAAGGGAAAAAAAAAAAAAAGAAAGAAAGAAGAAAGACTTCTCTTTTCAGGGGATGGCTACGGAAAAAAAATTCAGTTCAGCTGGTAAACTAATGTCGTGATTTTTTTTTAAATAAAAAAGAATTTGGTAATGGGAGGAATGATATTTGTATTATACTACTGAGAATGTCGACTTTCTTTTTTTTTTTAAACAAAAAAAAGAAAATTGATTTGATTTGACTAAAAAATTAATAAATTGATAAACTGATTACACTTTTTAATTCTCATTGTTGGGATAGGGAGTATTTTTCGTTGGCAAAAGGGACCAATTCCCTACAGGCATAGACAAGGATAAATTCTCTCTAATTAAGTTTGTTGCATATATAAAAAAATTATCAAATGAAACTCTTGTAGGTAGCATGATAATGTTTTTCTGACTCTTTGAATTGTCCGCTTACATGTCCATAGTAAAATCACTTTTCATTTATTTCTTCAATTAAGACAACTCTCCAAAAGTTATTACTAGCATCAGTCTGGTGTCTGGAAGCTTTTTTATCTCAGGAAGAATAGAAGTATAGACATCTTTTTAAACTAATCCCAAGAGAAAGCTTTTACCAGACAGCCAGTTACTCTGATAGAAAGACTGATTCTCTCGCTATAAATTCACTATCATGTTAGTAAATTAAAAATTAGGACTCGCTATATGAGTTAACATAAATTAGTAAATTAGTATTTTTTTTAATTTATCTCTGAAAAATATATTTCAAACATTTGGATTTTTACGAAAACAAAATGGGTGGATTTATTAATGGTCAAAGAAGTCAGTTTCCCCATTGGGAGTCAAACACAAACAGCAACACCACTTTCCTAGTAACAACGTTCCTTCCCAATGTTTCCGGTGTGACTGGGCCCCACAGTACGCGCCAATTAATCTGTCACTCACCCCCTTCCCATGATACTATGATTTGCTTTCCACTTTTCCTCTCCCACTCGTCTCTCTGTTCAATTTCAAACACTATTCCCATTCTATTCTAACTTTGACTTAGACTCTCTCTCTCTTCTCTTTTCTCCTCCTCCTCCTTCGTCCTCTTCCTCTTTGCCGTCGTTCTGTTTCTCTGCATAGAATAAAGATGACTCCTTTCGTTTGCCTCTCTTTCTTGTTTCTCCTTCTCCAGTGTCCCCTCCCATCGTTCTCAACCAATTCTGAAGGTATGTTCTCCTGATTCTCATCACCTCTTTTTTGCCCCGTTTAATTTCCTCTCTTTTTCCAATTTAAACCCATCAAGTCTTCCAGTTTTAGGATCTGAATATATCCTTTTCTTCATATTTTGATTTCTTTGTTTCTTTTTAACCTGTTTGGTTTCTGAGGAATTTGAGTAAACTACAATTACTCAGAATCAAAGTTCAGATGTTAAGCTTCAAAAAGTTGAGAATTTTCTCTTTCCCATTATATGGTTTTGAATTTTTCGTGTAGGAAATGCTCTGAATGCTCTGAGAAGCAGGCTATCTGACCCCCACAACGTTCTGCAGAGCTGGGACCCAACTCTGGTTAATCCTTGTACTTGGTTCCATGTTACCTGTGACTCCAATAATCATGTGACTCGCTTGTATGTTGCTTCCATTTCATTTCTGTTTTATATTTTGATTTGAACTTTTTATGCTTGTTCGGCTTCTAATCAGCTTGTCTATACTTTGAATTTCAGAGATTTGGGCAACTCTAACGTCTCTGGAACTCTAGGCCCAGAACTCGGCGAACTTCACCATTTACAATACTTGTACTTGGCCTTACCTCTTTTGCCTTCTGCTATTTGTTTTGGTTGTTTGTTATGAAGCTTAAAGTTCAGTTTGGAGCCTCTTTTTAGTTTTACTCTTATAAGTCACAACTCATTACAGAATAGGAGAAATACATGTTCCAATGAAATAAACGTGACAAGAGGATATCATTTTCAGAGCCCAACCCCATATTGTTGAGTCTTTCATCAAAAGGAAATGAAAGATCTTCATACGTTACGTTTTCATAAAGCAAACAAACACCTACGAACCATCGAAGTTTTCTCATGAGCTATTCCTGTCCCTTGACGAAGGACAGATTAAACACTGATTTCTGAACCAGACCGGTCTTAAATGAAGGCATTATATTTGCTGTCTATTCATATGATTATGATTGGCTGGATAGGTAGATTGGGATTACTTCTGATTATTTCTCGATCAAGGATGAGCTCCAAGTTATTTGATAGTTACTTTCAATTGGCCAAAAACAAGTCGGGGTTTCTGAAATTGGTGATTTTTGCAGGGAGCTGTATAGGAATGACATAAGAGGGAAGATTCCTGAAGAATTTGGGAACTTGAAAAAACTAGTTAGTCTGGATTTGTATGATAACAAGTTTGAAGGCGAGATCCCAAAATCATTTAGCAAGTTGAACTCTCTCAGATTCCTGTGAGTATATCTATCTTGATTGCTCAGAAACCTTCTCAAAATTATATAGCTCTTGAACAGAATGATATCTAAATTCCCATTTGCCTTGGTTTCTCTGTATCCAAACTTCAGCCGCCTAAACAACAACAAGCTTTCGGGCCCAATCCCAAGACAAATCACTCGTCTAACTAATCTCAAAATCTTGTAAGTTTCCGTTTCTTCTACTTCATTGTGGCTTGTGATTTCTCTGCTGTCGCTTATATGATCTAATGGAAATATGTTGATGAACTCATTTTCTCATGTTGCAGTGATGTTTCTAGTAACAACCTGTGTGGAACAATACCAGTAGATGGCCCTTTTGCGTCTTTCCCCGCAGAAAGGTAAGTTTTTTCACCAATTAATCCTGTTCATGATGAACTTAAATCACTTCAAATGCCACTTTAGGTGAAATAAACCAGAAAATACCAGATTCATTGAATGGGTACTAAAGTAGACTGAAACCCTATCCCAAAAATTAGCAGGTTAGAACTAACTCACATAAATAACTCATTGAGCATCCCATACCACTCAACATGGGACTTACTATACCATACTACTACGTCCATCAATTCAACCAAAATCTGCAAGGATGATATACTTTAATATCTCCAAACTAATAGCTTAGTTCATGAAAAATCTCATAATAATCTCTGATGTGGGCTTGCTTACTCTTGCAGCTTTGCAAACAACAGTAAACTGAAGGGTCCAGAGCTGAAAGGATTGGTTTCTTACAATTTTGGATGCTGAGGAAAAGCTATTATTTGGGGATAGACTATATGAAGAGAAAGAGAATCTAAAACAATATATGGTTGCCATGGAAGAGAACCTGATATATGAATAATAAAAGGGATCAAGTAAAATTAGATCTGATCTGATTGTATGGCCTATTCAGCATATAGCTGAGCTCAGACTTTGATGGTGATGAGCACTTATCTCTTAAGGAAAACCTTGTTTGTTATACTACCCTGAAGCATAAAGATATGAATACCTGGTTTGTTTGGAAAATCTATATATATCAATATAAAATCTAAAGACGATTTATAGTTTGTGTGTGTGTTTGATTTGGAAAGTTGCCCATTCTGTGAAAGAAAATTATTAAATTGTAAATCGCTGGTTTCAAATGATTACTTGATTGACAAATACTAGCATATCATTTAGGTTTGTTTATGTGATTCCAGAAAGGCAATATTATGTTTCTAGGATTTTAGCCAAAAAAAAGATTGAATTAATATTGATATAATTTATTAATCAATACAAAAATATGAAATTTATAAGAAATTGTATTACTTAAAAATTTATAAAGAGTTAATATAATTTCTAGTCTCTTAAACTTATTCTCATTTTGGTTTTAATTTTTTAAATTTCAAATCATAAGTTTTAGTCTCTTAGTTCAAGTTTTTATTGGATTATAGGGATTAATATTTTTAAATGAAAAGGAACTGAAGGGGTTAAAATCTATGATTTGAAATTTGAGGGACCAAAATCAAAATAAGAAAAAACTTAAAGGAGTAAAGTTTGTATTAACCCATTTATAAATTATAATTAATACATTTTTTCTCATATTCTGTGCAATGTACCACCTCTAGTCCTAACTTCGTTTATAAATTATAAGACCCGTTTACATTATAAACGAGGTATTATAATTAAGACCGGAAGTAATAATTTTTTAAATACACATTGCAAACTAAGGAATAAACAATTGTTTAGAACTGACTAAAAGTTGTTCATGTTTTTTTCTTCTGCCGCTTAAATTTGTGCGTGAGATTGCGAACCCATAATTTAAAGATATTCCAATTCAATGAAAGTCTAATTTTATAAAATTTTTGTTTTTAAAAAGACAAATATCATAAGTTGCGGGGAAGGACGAAGGAGTGGTCATGATAAGGGAAGGTCATGAATCATGATAAGGGAAGGAGTGGTTGTAGTAAAAAATTAAAAATTAAAAATTAAAAATGTTGGCATGCTGTCGCCCGCTCGCCCCAGGACCTCACCGCAAAATCACGCCCCAGCATTGAGCCGCCTTCCCAGATACTGAATTGGCCAGCGATTTTACACGTGGCATGAAAGTGGTGGCCGATAGGACACTTGTCAAAAAGGTGATGGCGTGGATTGTGCCGCATTTCCGACAACATCGTGAAATAAAACTGTTCTTCGAAGCCTGATTAAAATATTAGCATATTTGTTTATTTCAATTACTTTTTTTTTTAAAAAAAAAAGGAACTTTCTGGAACATGATTAAAATATTAGCATATTTGATACTCCTCCGGTCCTAATTATAAGATCCAATTGACTTATTTGAGGAAATTAAGGAAGTAAGTTAAGTTGGTTATTTATAATAAATAAGTGTTGTCATTCCTAAAATATCCTTGCTAATTAAGTATATTGGCTAAAACTATCATTATTAGAAGGATTATCTTGGAAAAAAATGCATAAATATAAGAGACAAAATGGATTGGGTCTTATAATTAGGACCAAATAAAAAGTCAAATTGGGCCTTATAATAAGAACCGGAGGAGTATATCATATTTATAACAAATGGTCATACACAACGGACAAATACCACTCGCTTTTATTTTCCGTGCTTGTATTTAATTTAATTAGTGCTAGCTAGAGAAAATAAATAAATAATTAGAAAACGAACAAAGTAAAAATGAAAAATTAGAAAGAGCGTTTTAGGGGAACAAAGACAAGAGCGGTTCATGAATCGAGTACAAGTTGATTTGCCTAGCCGAGGGAGTAAGAAACTACTTCCTCTGTTCCTTATTATAAGAGACATTTGATGCTTATTGCATGTTCCTATATATAAGAGACACTTAAAAGTTGTCTCTACTTTTTTATGTTGATTTCCTATTTTACCCATATTTATTGTCTCCAACTCACACTCTCTCTCCCTCCTACTTCTCTTTCTTTTAATAATTTAATTGTTCTCTCTCATGCTCTCTCTCCTTATTAATGAGGGTATTTTTGGAAAAAAAATTATATTTTTTACACATTGATTGTTCTTAACTAATTTTAACTGTTTTTTTAATCAACGTAATTCGGTTATTTGTCTTTTATAATAAGAAACGAAGGGAGTATTTCACAATTAGGAAGAAATTCCGGCGAGAAATGGTTTTTATTTGGGCCAACGATTAGGAAGAAATTGATATTGCCACCTTTTCCTGCAAAGTAGCATTCCGCTTTGAACAGCGGCTTTCGTCGTCCCGTTCGCTTTTGAGTCTCTCTACTAGTTATTTATTAGGTCTAAGCCCGCGTTAACCCCTCCATTCCCAGAGTCCAAACCCCTAAAAATCTTTACGGCTAAAGTTCAGGGAATGGCATACCGCAAAATGGGCAGTGCGTTCTTGAGGAACACCTCATTTTCTCGCTTCTGGGTACAGAAGCATTCGACCAAGCGTGTTAGTGATTTCACCCGAGCTCCGCTTCTGTGTAACCAAACCCAGTACAGAGCATATTTTCGTTCCCCAGATTTTACAAAGAAAGTCAGGGATTATGCCATTTCCCCTTCTTCGTTTCTTTCTTCCTCTTTTGCTTCTTCTTCATCGTCTTGCGGTTGTCTCTCCAAGGTTCGTTTTGTAGGTTGGTATTTGGGGATGATCAAGTCGCGCCCGATTCTTACAAAAAGTGTTACTTCTGGGCTTATTTACACGGCTGCTGATTTGTCCTCCCAGGTACGAAAACCCCTAATGTCTTTCTGGATTCTTCATTCTTGTATAAGTCTTGACTTAGCGGACGTGAAGTTTGGTAGGTGAAAGAGAGAGAATGCGTTGTTTGATATGAACCATTATCGGTTGAAGTCAAAGTTATACTTTATGCATCTTTATTATTAAAAGGGATTTTGTTGATCAAATTCTTTTTCCATTTTCCTAGTTTTTCCCTAGCTCTTGTTGGATTTGGAATGGGTTATTCCCCCTTCCGAGCTTATGGGGTTTCACCTGAAGGGGTTTAATCTTTGCAAGTTTCCCCACTTTTTAGCAGAAAACAGTATATATGATTATGAAGTTTCTTGTTTCTCACCATTATTGTTTTTATGGAGTAAATCCGGGAGCTGTTAAGAATATTCCGCTGGCGCATGTTGCTTGGAATTTTAGCGCTTTCTTTGTTGTATTGGATAGCCATCCATTCTTGGGATTTATGTACTCGCTATTGCTGTTATATAGACTCTCAAAATCTTGCAGTAATTATGACATTATAATAATTCCCTTTCACTGTTTTGGTTTATCTTGTGCTAGATATGTGATTTTGGACCCTTTATACTTCATGTTCAATTTGTTGTTTTTGTCATATTCACTTGCTAATCAAATCTAATTTCTTCAGACTATTTCACCACCATCTTCAGAACCGTTTGATTTTGTGAGGACATTACGCATGGCAGGATATGGGATGATTATTTTAGGACCCTCACTGCATTTCTGGTTCAATTTTGTGTCAAACCTTTTCCCAAGGAGGGATCTTTTCTCGACATTCAAGAAGATGGCAATGGGCCAAGCAATTTATGGACCTATCATGACTGTCGTTTTCTTCTCCTTGAATGCTTTCTTGCAAGGTATTTCCTTAACAGAGTGCATTTGTGGTTTGTATTGTACTGTACTAAACCTATATATGTAATTTATAGAATACTTCAATATTCTTAGGCTATGAATAGTGTGACTCACCTGAACCTCTATGTAAAGAACATGACCCCCGTTTCAGTTTTAATATATATCATGTTTACTCAAGTGTCTCTGAGACGTTGTTTATCGCATTCTGTTTGTGTCTTGTGTTTATGCTTTTGATTCTTTAACTTGAAAGAGGCCCAAACTCTTCTGACTTGTTGGAGAAAAGAGGGAAAAATTGACAACTGGGGTTACAGCGGATATTAGATAGGAATTTGTGTTCTAAAACTGTGTAGCGGTCCATATCTAGTGGGCAAAACATAACAGAAGATTTCAAGACTTTTTTGAAGTAAATCACAATGTCTCTCAGAATCGCGTCATTATATTTGCTGTTTGAATATTTTAGTTTAGCTTTCACTTTTTTCCAGGTGAAAACAACACAGAGATCGTTGCACGCTTAAAGCGCGATGTACTGCCTACGATGTTAAATGGAATTATGTACTGGCCTGTTTGTGATTTTATAACATTCAGATTCGTTCCTGTCCATTTACAGGTATGTATGAGGTTTATTCCTTCATATTTCCCTTCTATTATTGCAACCTGCTATGGATGGTCGTTAATTCCTGAAATTTTGTATTCATATATTTTGGCAGCCACTAGTCAGCAATTCATTTTCATATGTGTGGACCATTTATATGACGTATATGGCAAACCTAGATAAAGCAGAGGCTGCGAGTTAATCAACTTAGTTGGAGGAATCCTTGTTTCATGATCCAAATATGGAGTAATAGAGTCTTAAGACTTTATATAATAGTTACAGTATACAAGCCAAGCCGATCTCTTACAGGACATGTTGTAGTTAGTATTGTGCAGGTAGGACGCTCTAAGATTCATGATGTGGATCAAATGCTTACTTGTTTCAAGCAAATTTTCTTTTGGAGAGTTTTTTTCTCTCTCACTTAATGGTAATATTACAGTATCCATTTTTCTTAGGGGACTGGACCGACTAGGACTCTGTAAAGCGTTTTCTGTTACTAAGGACATGGTTTTTGGCTTACCTTTTCATTTAGATATTTGGGGTTGATTTCTTATTCTTTTAGATTTTAGCTCCTACGATGCTGTGTGAACCCTTGGAAATGTAATCGTTTTAATCCAACGAGCTGTTGACTGTTGAGGTTGAATATCGTTTGTGAAGCTACTACCACTTCTAAAGGCGGTTTTGTGTAAGAAGCAGCATAACGAAAAAGTGGATAATGATGAATGTTCATGAACTTACTCTGCCACTCTGACTTCACGGGTAGTTTGATGTAATTGTCTTCTAAAGAGGAAAGAGAAGCGATGGAAAAAAATTATCTAATTTAAATCAAATTCGGGTGTTTTGTATAAAATTCACGATTATTCCCGAAGGCAGCAGATAATCTGATTGTAAAGGCATATTTAGGTTGGAGTCTTTTTTAAGTTTATCGATGCAGCAGGGAGATCACATGACATTGCCACTTCTAGAGTAATGTTTGGATAAGGAGAAGAGGGGAAGGGGGGCGATAAGGTTTTATTTAGATTTAAATAAACGCACAATGTTCGGATTAATTATTCGTGTCCTTTTCTTGGCGGCTTCTTTTCTTATCAACATATCTCAGGATGCCATTTCGGAAAATTTAAAGTTATCATCTACAAATACACGTGTATAAATTAAATTGTTAAGATGTCATTCCACATCGTAAAATTAGAATGAAATCACCTTTCATTTGCTGCGGTTAATGGAGGACGTACTCCATATAACAGAAAATTGCTGAAATTAGAAGGACTAAGGAGAAACTTGTATTATATAAAACAAGAGGACCCAAGAAGTACATCCAAGCCTAGCCTACAACAATTAGTTGGCGAATCAAAATAAGCGTGGCAACAAGTGGGCATCATCAACAATCAATGTTGAACTCTTGAAAACAGTGAAGCTCTCATCCAATCAAGAGGGTCATATCTGTATAAACATGTTCCACTCCCCAACAACCCTCAGTCCCTGTATCTTTCGTGTAATCTAGCCAACTTATACCTAGAATCCCAGATGTTACTTATTCTGTTTTGGCAATCGACGTGACTTCAGGAGATGGAAATCAATATTCATGTCAGCTGAAGTGAGAAATTATAGACACTCAAAACTTCAATCAACAAATTAATCCCTTATCTGCCAACTCCTGCCCTTTGATTCCAATTGAATTCTAATCCAGTGAAAACAGAAGCTTCATTCTTCAGAGGCGCTTAAACAAATCTTCTCAAACTGCATGGACCAATCTGGTCCAAGAATTTGTGGATTCAATTCCATTGCAAGACGAAAATCTAGAAGAGATGTACAAGCAGAATTTGTTACTGTTTGTATACATCTTCCGGGTAGTGATACATTTGAACCAGGTACCGACCGACCATTTAGTTGTCTTAAGCGCTCGCTACCCTGTCTTGACCCGGCTAAACCGAAAGAGGACTCAATCAGCTTCTTCAAATATGTATCCAGGGAATTATTCAATAGATTTACGCAATCCACAGTCACAGATAAACCCTCCTTTTCCAGCTTCTGCTCTAATCGTCTCCTCAGAGAACTCGTATCAGGTAGATCCCTACTGCCCTGACAGGTCTCCAAATATTTACGACAAGTTGATACATTAGACAGAAGTTTTCTTCCACAGCCGAAGTTCATGGATACACCAAGAGGTGCTGTAACAGGGCTCCTACTCTGGATACTAGGGCTTCCAGTCATTTGTTCAACCTCCTCCCCATCTTCAACAGAAATAGGTGGCCTACTGCCAAGGGAATGCAATTCGGTTGCACTCTGCTGCTCCTGGGCTTTGGATATCATTTCTAAAGATGTTACACTTTGAGGTTTGCCCAACGGTCTCAAAGGACTTTGCCAGTCCTTAAACTTGCCGTCCCTGCCGGCTGAAGACCTGGTTCTCTGGAGGCAAGGTGAAAAGGGATCCACATTTGAAATTTTAGCGCTAAGAGGACTGCCTATTTTTGAAGAAGCCCTTGGAGGTGGGACTTTAGCCAGCCGAGCATTCTTGAGCAGTGCCCTCATAAGTTGGTTGTGGAGAGACAGATTTTCCTTCCCTATTGTCTTGATGCAGCACCTGTTAAACTCAGACTTGCCGATCTTTAAACTGACAAATCTTTTGAGCTGTTCAATATATTTCACAGTTCTCTGATGCCCAATCTTTCGAGCAATCAAAGCTTTCAGCTCCAAAGTGTCAATTCGAGTGAAGCTTCGACTGGGTACCGTCATTTTACCCAAGTTTCATGCAGCAAACGAATCAGCATTCAAACCATCGCCCGCAATGCTTTAACAAAACCAAGATGATCGAAAACGGAAGTTTCTTTAAACCCTAATTCCCCGATAGTGTCTTCATCTGCAATTCACGAAAATATCAATCAGAAACTACTACGTATCCGCTTTTTTAATGAATTTTTAAATTCTACAATGAATTGAAATTAAACCCTTGAATGCTGCGCAGCCAAGACCTAAAACTTGCATCGTTGTTCAGATCACAGGAAAGCTTCAAATTTACGAAACCAATCATTAATCGGAAAGAAAATTAAGACGAAGATGTGCGATTGATAACAGAATATCAGTTCATTCAGTTTAACATTGAATGCCGATGGGCACAAGGTCAAATTTGAGCGATCAGCAACAAATAAAAAACACGAGAAAAAGCGTTAAAGGATTAGAACTAGAAGAAAGATGGAAAATTTACGAAACAAGGTTGAAGTTCGTACCAAAGTGATGAGAACCCGAATTCGGATAGGTTATGAAGATCTAGCGTGAAGGTTTTGCCTCCAATTGCTGCATCAGCGAATTTTGCAGCGCGCGGTTCAACGCAATGGGAACGGAAAAAGACTAAACGAAGACTAAAGACGAAAGAGCAAAATGGGCTTTTCCGACGCAACGAGCATTATCAAAGGCCCGTTTGCTTTTGACAAATATTAATGGAGCGAACTTGTTATTTGATCTTGGAGAGTCAGTTTAGGAGAATCAATTTTGTTTTTTTTTGTTTTTGTTTTTAAAGCTCCATCATCCCATTTATTAGTAATAATATTGAGTGTAAATCGCCTATAATTACACTTTCATCATCAAATATCTAAGAGGCCAGTAGCAAAAAAATATCTTAAAAAAAGACACTAGACACTTTACTTTTTGGGCTCCTTAACTTCATGTTAATTTTTTTTCCCAAATAAATCACATTCCTCAAAGTTATAGTTTATACGATGCACAACATTGCAGGGAAAATTTAGTTAATGATTAATTTAAATAGCTAAAAGATTGGAGAATAAAAAAAGGCAAATCAAGTATCTAGCCTAAATGTCTCGAACATGATTATCTCTAACAGAAAGATACTGTGTCTACAAAAAAAAAAAAGAATCTAGCTTAACCTCTTTTAGATAATGTGTACCGCATCGTTGTAAATTGTGCAAGCGTATAATCCATTCGATAATATATTCTATGTATTTTTAATGTGACAAACTCTTAAAAATGTTCAGTGATATGGTATACGGATGTCCCAGGTTAAAACAGGTAAACGAATACACCACATTCAACGTAAAGGCTAAATTCCGCGCCTAGTTTTCTCAGTTACGGAGCGTGTATAATTTTATCAGAGAAATAAACTACTCTTCATCATGTTTGAATGATGTTAGTGTAGATAGGATCATTATTAAGTGCCCAAAAACATCTTCCATTTATGAGACTAACAACTGGAAACTCCTTAACTTCAGTCACAAGTTGCACAAACCAATAATAGTAGCCATCAAGAGGCTCAGTGCTTCCAACACAAGGACTAACAATCTCTCAAACTTGATGGCATATTTCACAGAGGATAATACCGAGATAAAATTCTGTGAATGTTTGTTATTAGATTCTCTACTGAAAGTATAAAATACAAAAGAAATCCATCAAATACTCAATCACGCGGTACTAAGCTGTAAAATTATGCATCTCATCTGTCATGTTAGCGCTAGCTACCATTAGACAATCTGATAACAAACACCAATAAACCTATATTTATCTGATTCAAGTAATAGCTGGATCCTGCATACCAACATGTCCAACTTACAATATTTGCATTCATAAGATATTAATCCTAACAGCTGTAAGGCCTCTGCAAAGATGATATTCAAAGACACTGAAGATAAGATGGCCCCAAAGAAATTAAGATAAGCAAATATCCTATGGTTTACTTTTACCCTGTCAATCTCAACTACCAGATGATGAATTTTCGGCTCGATTATCTCCACTGGGAGGATGATTAATTGGGCGCAAAGGTGGAGCCTCTTTGAATTTCAATATATAGGCTATTTCATGAACCGCGCGCAGCTGTGGAATCACTTGAGCATCTAAGTAAGCATCACAGGAGAAGCACCAGACTGACAGATCACTGTGTGGCAAAGTGCATCAAGGACATGGCGTCAGTATAACTACAGATTGGCTGGGAATTGTGCATTTCAAAATAACATTTTAGATCAAAGCAGCCAATTACCTGAAGCTGAGCGCCACACTGTGACTCGTTTGCTGATAATGCTGAAGCATATGCTTGTTCACAAAACGGCTACAAAGCACATCCTTACAGGACAAACACAGCCAGTTCTCACTGGGGTGTTGGCAACTGAAAGTTTAATCCATTCACAGATTAGAAGACATCCACTTTTTTATGCAAAAACTAGGCTTCTCATCATGAAGTGTTCATATGCTTGATTCCTAGGGATCGAATACTGTTGGACACAAGCATATTGTGAAATATAATTAGGTCAACTCGGCTATCCTGAAGCCAGTGGCATCTTCCAGATACACATCTCACATGCACTTCTTCAACTGCCAAACCTTCAATCAACATGCATAACTCACATGTCCAAACCATCCGTCATTGCTCATTTCCCTTGAAATTAGCTCTCCATTTAGCCCCCCAGTCCATGCACTGAACGTGTAGGCAGTGACCTATGTTCTCAGTTATGCCCATCACTTCGAATAGACCACGTAGTATTTAGAAAGTCATACACTAGTAGACTAGTATTATTGGTAAATTCCATTCACTTGCATATACGCGCTGAATTACCTTCACTTACACATAACAAACACAATTTCGGGTTATGCGTTTTCATGCCAAATTTTTTCCAAACGTTTCCAGATTTTTCCAAAAATTCTTGGAGCTAAGCAAGAGCTAGGCTTTTATTGACAGTGACATGGAGAAAATAACACCAAGCGTACGCCTACAGTTTTAAGGACATTCATTTCGCAGATTGAAAATCCCGTTAAGCTCCATTCGTTATTTGGTAAGTCACAGGAGCTGGATTTGGATCATAAATAAAATTGATGACATTTCAGAAGTATGAACCAGCAAAAGGTACCTATTGCAGGGAGTTTCAGGAGACGGGATGTGGGTAAGATCGGTCCCCAACGAACCAAGGTGATCGCACGAAGTTCGAGCTTCGACCCAACCCGATTCAGAGCCATATATTAAGTCGTATTCTTCTTCAAGAAGACCTTCCTGAACATCGCACAGACATGATAACAGTAAACACAAACTACATTGAGATTTTTATGAGCAAAATTGTTTCCACTCTCTGGCATGTGAAATATTGATTCTTTCCTTCCGGTTAATGAAAATATAATTAAAATGATACTTAAATATGACTAATTAGAATGATACTTAAATATGACTGAATTACGGGGGCTTTGTTAGGGATCAAAAAGGAAAATTCAGATGGAGGAGAAGTTAATACCGGCTGGGAAGAAGACGAAGCACCTGCGTTTGCCATGAACTCCAGGACACGATGAGACTGATGCCGCCGGAAGAGTGCCGTCGCTCAAAGGTTCCTTCCCGGGCCCGGCTATATATATTGTATATGGCACGGGAAATGGAAGAATCTGTATGCTAAATTAGCAATCCGGACCGTCCAAAGGGTTCATTGTAATTTAGAATTTTAATGTTTCAACAATAAAAATTTAAAATATGTATAAAATAAAATTATTTTATTCATTTTTAAGTTAAATTAGATTTGAATTGCAATAAAATCCAAACGAAAAATCTAAACTGGATGGCGAGATCTACACATTCCTCCAATCCCATGAAAGAAGCGGCATTAGGGAGGATTTGTGATTTAAATATTTGTTCAACTTTGATTTTAAAGATAAGCATGAGATATTTAATTTTAGTTGAACATAAATTTCAATTAATTGCTTAGCAAAAAGAAAAGAAAAATTGAATGAGTTCCCATTTATATTGGTACAATTTTTCACGCGTATAAAAGGAAATTTATGATGATTGATGAGTATTTTTAAGAATTCATATATTTTGATTTAAAAAAATACATTTTACGATCTTTAAATTTAAAGTTATATGGGTTGAATGCAACCTGCCCTCCATCTAGTCTCACCTAACATAGAGGTGTCTACATTTAATATGAAACATCGAATAAAATTATTTCTCTGGTCCTATTTATAGAGTAAAGAAAGAAAATATTTTTTGGTCTTATTTACGGGATACTGAGACAAATTTTTTATATAGATATATAATCTAATCCTTCATATATTATTGTATTGATTTTATTTACATGAGGTATAATATATATTAAATAAAAATAAAATTAAAAAATTGTTAAATTTTAAATGAAAGTTAATAAAATTTAAAAGTTTTCTTAGTATGTGTGATCTAAGAGTATCTTTAATAGCGAGAGACCTATACAGCAAAAAAAATTGATATGTTGGCCAAAAAAATTGATTTTGATTTACATGTGATATTTGTAATTTATCATATAAAATATATTAAATGTGTGATTATCAATGAGGTTTTTAATTTTTTATGTTGTTAAAATACTAAATTGATTTCTTAATTCGATATTATGCAAAAATAATTTATGATTATTAAGTACTCTTCGTGGTTTGAAAAATGTTATTCTTACCATAAAATCTTTCTCAAAGAAACATATTTTGAAGAATGTATTCATATTTTTGTTAGTAAAAATCCGGTTTGGGTCCATCGCATCCCCATGTCCTACCAAGGGAAGGAGTTTGGGTCCAGCCCATCCATATGCATTATGCAAGGCACTCCTGGCGGGGAAACAGAAGATTCACGGCACTCATATATACGACACCGTCTTGGCGCGATTATAACACAGAATTAGGGTTTTGACTCTCGGATTATTTCCTTGACCTCCTCTGTATTCATTCACTCTGAAGCTTGGCTTGCTGGCTGCAGCTAAGATGGGGCATTCTAATGTGTGGAATTCTCACCCTAAGAACTACGGCCCTGGTTCTCGCACCTGGTAAGCAAAGAAACTTTTTGCTTCGTTTCATCAGTCTATGGATATGATCGACCCTTTTCTCTTTACCTTTAGTTGGGATTTTTTCAAAGCTGTTTACTTTAAGTGCCAACTTATCTTTTAATCTGCAATGCAACGGCTGAAGCGCTGTTTTATGTTTGTGATTATGAGTATATCATCAATTGAGTTTCCTTTCTTTTTAATCTGTTTGTCTTATAATAATGCTATTACTCTGTTGATCCGATCTCTAGGGGGCTCAGCATGCAAAATCTGTATACTTTGATTTTATTGTAATAGGGTAATATTGCATTCGTCGTTATAGCATGCTCAACAGACTGGGATACTGGTTTTCAACTGCTAGAATGCTAGTTGATTAGTTGCTTTACAAATTAATAAACTGCCAATGTAGTGTCGTGGTCTTGAGCTGTGAATCTCTTGTGTAGGGAGATTCTTTCCCCTTTTTTTGGGTGAGTAGGGGAGGAGTTATATACTTATGTTTGTCTCCTCCCATTCAAATCCCTTCCTTTTCCTTCCTTTTGTTGAACCGAACAATATGTTTGGGAATAAATTAGTTGGTAGTTAAATCTTCTTTCCTTTGGTCGGGGGAATTTTACCACCTATTGTGGCTCTCCTTCTTGTGTGCATTGGCAAGCTCGGAAGATGTTGCTTCATGAGCTGCACATTTGTTTAGTGCCAAAATTACACCTTGTTAGGCATGAAAACTAATTCATGAAGATCAAGTGATGGTTGGCCTTGCGCATGATCACTTGATTTTAAGTCTTAGCCACCTTTTTTTTTTTTTGGTGTTAAAGAGGCAAGCAAAACTTGAAGTTAGGTTAAAGCAAAGCTTGAAGTTTCAGCCACTTTTGAATAGTTTTGTGGATTATGATGTTAGTTTTATCGTTTGTTTTTCAGCCGGGTGTGTGGAAACCCACATGGATTGATTAGGAAATACGGGCTCATGTGCTGCAGGCAGTGTTTTCGCAGCAATGCCAAAGAAATCGGCTTTATTAAGGTAAGTGTGTGTTTAGAATTTGTTGGTATGGTATTTTGCTGCTCTAATATCTTCTCTACTTCTGTCATTGTTTGTGATTGCTGGTTCTTGTGTCATGTTCTGTTTCACAATGAGTTCTCATTACTTACGTTCTGTTTGTTTTTCAATTGCAGTATCGTTAAAAGGCTATTCCCACACCCTTGGTAGGGTATTCTTGGAGAGTGATGGAAGAATTCTAGACTTTTACTTTGGTTTTTGATGTTTTTATTTGGAACTACTAGAATGTCAGGATGCATTGGATTCTGAGAATTCCTCCATAAATTGTCATATTCTTTTATAAAAGAGCTACTTGGTTTCCTCATATATGGGATGTGCATGAAATTGTTTTGTTCCCCTCAAGCTAACTTTTACTCGAGAAATGATGGGCAGCTGTATATATAGTGCTAGAAACTAGTAAGGTTTTATTTATAAAGAGATGGACGTATGTCGAATTTTAGTCCTCTTTTACGTTTCACCCCGCGCCTATCAAACAGTCCATTTCATAAGTGGCCTCTTTAACTAATTTTATGATTTTCTGTCAAACTATAAAAGTGGCGCTGTGGCATGGTAGCCACCTATTGGCGGCCTTATCAGGGTTCAATGCCTGCAAGCTCTACTTGCCTACCAAAAATATAAAATAGTAGTATGGATGATTATGACAGATTCCCCCCCCCCCCCCATTGTTACGGCATAACACTCAACTTTGGTTTATCTTAAATGCCTAAAGGCATTTTTACTTTATTTAACTTATTTGTTTTCTATTTTGTAAATTATTATGGAAACGTTGTTTTTTAAGACTCCTACTGTAATTTCAAACATGTTCCTGATCAATCACCTAGCTATTGAACGGTAGTTTTTCCTTTGTTAAATTATTCACAATCCAATAATTAAGCTAATTATTCACAATACAACTACTAACTTGGAGCTTGATCGATTTCTATTCTTTGACTTTAAAAATATGCAAGCTCAAAGCTTTATAGCTAATCATCATAAACAACAAATATGAATTGTTGGAAGCTCATGCTGCAAAGTTCTTTATATGATTCTAACAATACCAACAAAAAAAAGATAGAACGTGACACTGACTTTAAAATGAAATGGCAGCAGAAATATAGTAGTAGTACCTCAAAATCGATATAGCTGCAATAAAGTTTGTACAAACATTTCATCTTGGGAAGGCGTGAAGTATAGTGATAGTTGAACGAGAGGAAGACAACATTAGATCAATGTCACTTTTGTGTGCATTGTTCTACATCTAACTTCTTTTCCAGTTTCGAGTGTGTGTGTGTGTGTTATCTTCATCCTCAAAAATCCAAATGGATGATTTGCACAGCACTTTAGCAAATGACTGTTTGACAAGAATATTTAGTTATACAAGTAACTTGTCTCTCTCAATATCATTTTTTTCCCTTTCAAGAATCATTCTATTCCCTATTTGCTAGTATTTAATTACCACCTTCTTCTCACTCAAGCTTATATATGCTTAGCTTCTGCTTATAAACTAAACTTCATATATGTCTTCTAAATTAATCCTTCTTGGAATATTGTCTCTTAAACCTTGTTTTATTTTCTTTTTAATGTTTCTTTTTTTTTTATAGAAATTTTTAACGTTTCTAATCTTCCATGTCTAACCCCCCAACCTTTAGATCCATAATATATTATGCATGTAGTTACAAATTAAATACTACCTTCGATTTTAAATACTACCTCCGGTCCTTAATATAAGACCCCGTTTGACTTTTTGTTTGGTCCTAATTATAAGACCTCAATCCATTTTTTCTCTCATATTTATGCATTTTTTTCCAAGATAGTCCTTCTAATAATGATAGTTCTAACCAATACATTTAATTAGCAAGGATATTTTAGGAATGACAACACTTATTTATTACAAATAACTAACTTAACTTACTTCCTTAATCTCCTCAAATAAGTCAACTGGGTCTTATAATTAGGACCGGAGGTAGTATAAGATTTAGTTTATAGTCTTACAAACTGTATCTTATATTTAAAATCAAAAATAGTATTAGATAATAGTACATCAGTAACGCTATGGATTGGTGCATGAAAAGCTATGGAGGAATAAAGAAATGAAAAGGATATGAATATGATTTTTTTTTAAAGAATTGAAAAAGAGGTTCTTGAAGTGCTCATAACTTAAGCCGGAGAAATAGAAAGAGAGGAGGAATCTTTGAAGTCTTTGGCTTGAAGGATTATTAACTCCACGTAATAAAATCATAATAATAATAAGCACATTTTGAAAAGAGCGTGCACAATAGCCGCCAAACGGAAAGCCCCATAATTAGTTGAGTTGTAACTCACTTTTTAGTTCCCTCAATAAAATAATGAGCTGTTAGAGAAAATAATTACCATCTTATTATATTATTGTTTGATAATTCCTATTATTTGTTTGATGGCAATGGAGACATGATAAATTTTTTTTTTTTCATATTTTCATTGTTCTAAATATTTAAAAAAGCTGGAAAGGCAATGGGGGCAAAGGATTGGTCCACTGGATCATTCTATTCCATAATCACTTTCTAAGCAAACAAATAGACCCCCCCCATAAACGGACATACTTTGAGTGGGTGACTCACTTTTTAAATAATTATTATTATTATTACTATTCACATTTTGAGTGTCCTTTAAGTCACATGCCCTCCAACAAATTATTATATCTGCCTTTCTCTTCACTTACCTCATCCCTTTTCTTTAATCACCCATACTTAATCCAACAATTATAAAACCACCCCCAACCCCCCCCAAAATCATTTGATAGATTCTAATTTTTCCTCTTAATTATGATTAAAAACAGTTAAAGAAGGGAGAAATATTTTCTTATCAACAAATGAACTACTCTGGTAAATTTCTTGATGGGTATTATGAGGAAAAAAATTTATGTCCGCTTACATACTTAAAATTTTTAACTAAATCAACTTATTTTTTGAACCACGACGGGTAGACATGATGGTTTGGCATCTCGTCCCTTAAGTAAGTGGTTGGGGGTTTGATCCCCCACTCTTGTGAATAGAAAACACCACATGGCCAGTTCCATATTGCTTCGTGCGCCGACAGTAGGGATGGGGGATTAGTCCCATAGCTACCGGCTGTGGGGATATCTTGGAGAAACCTAAAAAAAAAAACTTATTTTTATTAATGTTGAGTAGACAGCTATTTGTTTATTATGGAAAGAAGGGGATGGCTATGAGATTTTACTTACAATGGCACTTTGATCACCTTTACTGCAACAAACTTAGCACATATAAACACGTCGGCAAATACTAATAATGGTTAAATAAAATAAATAAATAAAACTTTAAGAAGCTATTTCTTGTTGGCTGGTCATTGTTTCCTTTTAGAATAATGAGTTCCCAAGCAGTTAAGTAAAGCGGATTGTGCAATTATATATAATTTAAGGAATGATTTTACCAACTTATGAAATGATGCGAATTAATTAGTGGGTTATAATCATGCACGGGTCATAATTTATAAGACATAGATACAAAGTTCAAAATACGTACGATCATTTTCTACGTACAATAAACCTTAAAACTCCACCTGTCAACAAAAGTTCTGTTTCACAATAACTTGTCAAAATATTTACTATAACTCTTCGGAACTTGAAGCGATGCCTTACTCTTATTAATCTTTTTTTTTGGGGTTAAATTCCAAACATTAGAAAGAAGTGTCATGTAAAATTAGTTTTGAAATGGGAAGAAGTTATCCTCATAACATAATTTTTCTGTATAAATATAGAAGACTATAGTTTAATTATTGAGTTTGAGATGGCAATTAATAATTATAATTATTTTTTCACTTATTACACAAGGAGTAGCAAAAGTGAGGGAAATGGATTCAAGAATGGGTGAAATTCCAGAGCCAGTTTCATATATTGGATTGCTTTAGTGAAAGATATCAGTCAAAAAGAAGGAAAAGACACTAAAAGATGCGTATCAAAGTAGCCAAAAATTTTTTTTTAAAAAAATTGAAGTGAAAAAGAAAGAACACGAAGTTCAAAATTAAATTGCAAGCGATACTTGAAACGTGAGAGAGTCCAAGTGAGGGAAAAGTCAGATGAAGTGGAAGGTAAATAAATAAATATATAGAAGCATGGAACATCCAAAGACAATATGGTGTTAATAAATTATTAGTTAAATAATTAAGTAGCTTTCAAAGGCTGCAATATGAATGAGAGGGACAGAAAGAGAAAGGGCATCTTAATAATATACGCACACTAATAAAAAAGGAATGATAATAATAATATTTAAATACCACTTCCGGTCCTTAATATAAGATCTTGTTTGATTTTTATTTTGTTTCTAAATATAAGATTTCAATTCACTTTGTTTATCATATTTATGCATTTTTTTTCAAGATAGTCCTTTTAATAATAGTAGTTCCAGCTAATATACTTGATTAGCAAGGATATTTTAGGAAAATACAACACCTATTTTTTACAAATAACCAACTTAACTTATTTCTTTAACATACTCAAATTAATTAACTAACTCTTATATTTAGGACCAGAAGTAGTAAAAGGATATATACATATATATATATAGCTTAGCTTGCAAAAATCACAATTAAGCAAAGATGGGGATTGTGGTTGATAATGTGTAAGCTCTGGAGGGGGTTAGCTCATTTATCTCTTTCTTCTTGAAGTAACCTCTCTAACTTACGTCACTTTGGAGTATCAAACCTGTCAACTAATTATAAGATTATTTTGTGAGTGTCTAAAATCACTTTTTTTTATAAAAAAAATTGTTATATTCCCCCGTTTTATGCACGTGATCCAAATTACAAGTATCAAACATCACAGTCTAATCTACTTGTTCTTTCTACACCTTTTTGCCGTATATATCATGACTTCTTCCCATACACTACACGTATTCCATTCGATAACTAAACAGATGCAAATGATTTATAAATAGTGGTCAAAATTAATCAGATCATCGTAGTTTTATTTTCTTTTTATTAGGTCATTATTGTTTTCTTTAATTTTAATCAGACTTTTTTTCCCATCAAGTCTTTATAATTTAATCCGATTATTCTTTAGTATTTGATTTTTGTTCATAAGGGATTGATTTTAAAAAAAGCTACAAGGACTTTTCCCCCCAAAGTATAGGTATATTTTTATCAAAGATAATTTTATTCCAGACACTGTTGCACATGTGGATACTTCTCCCAGTAGGATTCAAATATTAGTTCGTCACGTTGTGAGAGACTAACTCCTTCTACTAAACCCAATTTCTATTGGTGGCTACAAGGACTTGATAAAAAGTCAAATGATATTTTCATGCCAATTGTAAGCAACTCTGTACTTTTTTTTTTTTTAAAGAGACATTTTAACTGTAGAATGTTCATGTGTTGTTACAATCAATCATTTGTTAAATTGAAGAAAAATAAAATACTAAACTAGTGGATATAAAAAAAAAATTACATGTTTAAGTTTTGAGTTAT